CTGGCTAATCTCTGTCAGGTTTCTGCTAAACTGCACGACAATCTCAATAGGGTAAAGGGCACGGTGTATGCACCCTGCCTTATTAACGTAAAGGAGGAAGAGATTTTAGAAGAACTCAAAAGCCAAGGAGTAACAAATATCTACAAGTTCACTAACATGCAGGACGGTAAAGCAACACCCACAGGAAAAATGGTACTCTCCTTCGACCTCTATCATCTTCCCAAAACCCTCGATGTGGCATGGTACAAAGTTAAGGTCAAACCTTATTTTCCCAACCCTATGCGCTGTCGCAACTGTCAGCGGCTCGGGCATACAAAAAACCGCTGTTCAAACGCTGCAACCTGCGAAGGGTGCAATTTACCCCCACATCAACCAACAACATGTACTCGGGACCAGTGCGCCAACTGTTGCGACACACATCCCTCATCCGACAAAAACTGCCCTAGATTCAAGCAAATGAAGGACGTTCTGCAAATCAAAACCATACACAAGTGTTCACTTGGTGAAGCATTTAAAAAATATAACCTAAACAATCCACCCACAGACACATCCAAACGCACATACGCCATCTCAGTAAAAGAATCAGAAACAACATCCAATAACAGCATCGCTCGCAAAAATGATCTAAAAACAACAAATTGCAAATCAACAACCCCAACCACTGATTATCTGAAACGTCCAGCATCATCTCCAAAAACCAACCAAGAAAAAATCGCAAAAACCACTGCCAGCAGCTACAAACATCAACACACCATCAACTCAGAATCCAACTCCAACTACAAAGGTATACACACAGAAAATGCAAATCCAACAAATCCCAGCTCATCACCTTTATCCAATATTACTCAACAACTCATTTCAAATAATCATTATTTCATCCCGGCAACCGAAACCAGCTCTATGCAAATCGATACAGCTACTAGCTCATCTTCGTAAACACCAAGCTACGAATAAATAAGCTTAATTAATACAGATGCTCGATAAGTTCAATATTTTGCAATGGAACATGAATGGTTTCATTAACAACAGTATTGACCTTGAACTTCTCAGAAACGAACACCAACCACAGCTTATATCGATTGAAGAAACCCACTGTCCCAACAGCTTTACCCCTATACCTCCCAAAAACTACACAGCCCACTTCACCAACCACACNAGCCTACTTCACCAACCACATCACTAATACTTACGCCAAGCAAGGCGTTGGCGTTTTAATAAAGAGTAACATCCCTCATACGCAAATATTTAACTCATCCTCCATCCAAAACATTTGCATCGAAATCCAACTTAATATCAAATTCACCGTCATATCCATTTACATACCGCCCGACCAAACCTTCAACCCACACGACATTGATAACCTCTTCCAAAACACAAGCAACCCTATCATTCTAGCTGGAGATATTAACAGTTGGAACACCCTATGGGGCTCCCGGTCTAACAACGCCAGAGGACTTATCTTCGAATCTGCAAT